ACACACGATGTCTCCCACCTGCAAGAGATTGCAGTGTCAATCCCAGCTTCAGCACGGCTGGGAGGAAAGCATAGCTCAAATGACTGCATTCTTCTGCACTGCCAAACATCGCCGAGCTTGAGAGCACTTGCACCAGTGCAGCTCTGAAGGCATTTGCCACTGTAAAATTGAACAACAAGGAACGCCTTGAACTGCTTACCTCAAAGGAGAGTTCATCCGCTGCCTGGGCAACGTATCTCTTAATAGCATGGGCAGCAGCAATAGCTGGAACATTCACAGGTGCCACCTCATGGTCCAGCAGGGGCTTCCCCTTGTTCTCAGTCTGAAACAGAGAGCACAGGCCACGGTGAGGAGCTGAGAACACACGAGGAGGATTTCAAGGTGAGGAGCACATCTGCAGAGAAAGCTGCAGGAAATGCACTCGGTCCTTATCATGGGCACTTCAGAAGGAACTGCAAGTCTAATAATGGCTGTTTCTCTCCCTGGTGTGCAGCAGGCACACGCCAGGCAATGCAAAGATGCATCTCTCCCCACCAGACTAATCAGCAATGGCACTGACGCAGACAGGTGGCCTTGTGCATTTTGCCCCCTCCTTTCCTGCGCTCTTTGTGCAGGAAGGCTGACTGTTTCAAATGCTAGGAGACCATGAAGAGGGAAACCAAGGCTACGGCTGCAGTTACAAGGTGCAAACAGTGCCACTGCAAGCACAAAGCAGCTCTCTTGAGCAGTCCAACCAACAGCGAGGCCAAACAGAGCAGAGAATGATTGTTGTTTCTGCAGCCATTTCAAGGGAAAAGTCAGTAGAGGACAAACACAACAGCCGAGATGGCTCTGGTACTTTTATAAACTTGCAACGCTTGCACTACTGTCTTGCCAAAGAGGAGCTCTCTTGGAAAGCAGGAGAGCACATCTGCGGCTCACTCTGCTGGCTGCAGTCAGGGAACAAAGACCAATCAGAGCTTCATACTCTACCTCTGTCCATGCCAGGTCAGGCCCACAGCTGATCTCGCTGCACGCCACAGCCATCAGCGTAGGTGTGACAAGCTGGAACTGAAAAGAAACACTTTTATGTTCTCTGTTCACATCTCTGCTGTGCTCCCTACAGCTGTCGGGCACACTCACACAGCCCAAGCACGCCTGCTGGTGTCCCTGGTGATGCTGTGCAGCTCTGCACAAGCTGGGGCTGGGACTCTTTGCCTAAGGGATTGCTTTCCATAAAACCAGCTGGTCACAGCACCACAGACAGCATCCTTCTGAGGGCTGAGCTGCAGAGCACGTGGAGAAAACCCACACGTGACCAGCGTCCCATCAAAGCTGGATGAGGCTGTGTTACTAAACACGGGGCGTCACAAGCTGCTAAAGCATGTGGGGGGACAAAGCATGGCAGGTACCTTGCAAGAGATCAGAACGAGGGAGAGAAATCTCACGAATCTGCAGCCGTTCCTTTTCACTTTGATCTGATCTTCCACGAGCAAAAGCTGCAGCAGGGAAGCAGGCAGAGGGTGGAGAGAGGAGAGAGAAAGAGC